GTGAGTTGAGATCTTGAGACCCTTGGCAGGGAGGGGCTGGAATGATCAGGGTTCTCCCCCAGGAAAGAGAGACCAAAGGGCCTGGTCTAGAAGCCCTGGCTTGGTGGGGCTCCTTCTGGGGAGGTTCTTTTATCTCACTCTCTCTTTCTTCTGTTTTCTTGTCACAGTCAACCTCAAGCAGTCCCAAAATATTACATTCATTTATACTTTTCTGTAGTCCCCTCTTTTTAAAGACTTCCGGGGTTCTTGTTGTGTTGGTAATCTTTTATTCCATTTCTTTTCTTTTTCACATATTTATACGACCAGTAATTTTCCATAAGAACATAAAAGAGGAAATATTTTTAACCATTAGGTGGTTCTCTCTATCACTTTCTTTTCAAAGTTCTTTTGTTTTTCATTCTCTTTTCCATAGTACTAACCATAATTTTTGTCCATTCCAGAAAAGTCCAGCACTTTCTGGGGAGGTTCTTGAGGTGGTGATTGGGTGTCAGCTGAACAGGAGATGGAAATGGGAGAGGGTCCCTAGAAAGAGATGGATTTTAGGGGAAGGCTGATCTATCTTTATTCAATTTTTCACAGAGTTCTGTGAACTGCCTGCTGACTCCGGACCATGTAGAGGCATCTTGCGTGCCTTCTACTACCACCCAGTTCATCGTACATGCCTAGAGTTTATTTATGGTGGATGCTATGGGAATGCTAACAATTTTAAGACCATAGATGAATGCAAACGCACCTGTGCTGGTAAGTAGGGAAGGAGTTCCAGACTGGCCTTTTCATTGAAAAAGACTCGCTGTCTCTTAAAATTAGGCATAAGGTGGGTTCATGAAACATTGTGGTTCTCACAACAGGCGGTGATTGATTCAATAGAAGGGAATCTTTGCCACTCAGGTTGAACTCTCCAATTTCTGGTGTTCTCTTACACCTGTGGAATCCCACCCATGAATGGCTGTGTGGTGTATCCTAGGCCTAGACATGGTCTGGGCACCCGGAGGTCTGTCTGGGGTCTTTCAGGCTCTCCTTGTGTCCATCAAAGGGAGAATTGATGTAAAGAAAAGGTGTTGTGATGCCAAAGCAGAAATTGGTATGGTGGGGCCGCTCTTCCTGATAGGTACCCATCCCCACTCTGTGCAAGCCAGGAGACAGACCCTCCATGTCCCTCTTCCACTGGCTCTTGACCTCTCCTCCTTCTGAAACACCATTGGTAGAATGGTGACCCCGCCCCAGGTCAGCTGCTGTTGGGCACTCTGTTGGAGAAGAGGGTGCTCCTGCCAGCCTGGTCAGGTTGCCAGAGGGGCAATGAGGACTTCCAGAGGAGAGGCCATGACTGAACCCCATGCTCACTTTTGGGCCAGCGCAGGCCAAAACTGGTCCAAGCTCAGGGGACAGGAAGGTCCACAGCTTCACCAGGGGGTCTAGAGTGACCATCTCACACTTCTGGCTGTAACAAATGCTCCCTGTGTGAATTGGGCAGTACAAGTGAACCTGTCCTTCTCTGTGCTCCAAGCATTCCAAGCCTTGTGGTCTCTTAGAAAAAGAGGATGGGGGAAAGATGCTGGAGGTCATGTAGTCCAGCGGACCCCAACTCACAGTCCATGGACCAGCACTGGGCCGTGGAATGCCAGAAAGCTGCCCTAGCAAACAAGGGAAGCCCCATCTGTGGGATGCAGGCAGCATGCAAAACCACACCCCTTCCGGTCGGCAGGAAAACCTTTCCCCACGGAACCGGTCCCAGGTGACCAAAGGGTTGGGCCCCCCTGATCTAGTCCACCCTCCTTCCAGCGCAGAAATCCTCAGAGCTTTCTGGAGAGATTCTGTCCCACCTTTGCTTCTAACCCCCAGTGATGGAGCCTCACAAGTCCAGGGGGGAGGCTGCTGCCCCATTGCTCCCTGGCTGTCTCCCAGTTAGGCCATTCCTCCTGAATTTCAGCTTTGGGTTTCCATGGTTCTAAGATTAGTTGGGTGACGCATTGGAGGCAGTTCTGGGCAGAAACCTCATATCCAGATGTTTGTTTTTACAGCATGACCAATGAGGAGACCCTCCTGGATTGGATCTACAGTTCCAACTTGACCCAAAGACCCTGCTTCTGCCCTGGACCACCCTGGAGACCCTCCTCCAAACCCCACCCTGGGCTCGTTCCTTTTTCTCTGCAATAAAGCTTTGGTTCCAGTGCCCTCTCGGTCTCCGGTGTCTCCTTCGGCCCCTTTGGGGGTTTCCCCTCCCCACCTTGACCTGTCTGTTCCCCTCCCATGTCAGAGGAAGAGGGGCTGAGAGGCAGCACATTGATCCCCCATGTGGCTTTCCAGAGAGAAAGTGTGAGGGAAGCCTCTCTCGGAGGCTGAAATCCCTGAAACTCAAGGTAAGTCTGGGATGGACGCACAGACTCTGCTGTGGCTCCACACGGATGGTCTGGCTGGAGGCCATGAGGAGATCAGAGAAAGTTTTCTGCCTTTATTTAAATAAGTAGAACAGAAAGAGAAGAAGTGGAAAAAAAAACCCAGGAAAATAAAACAGGAGATCAGGAAAAAAAAGGGCTTCCCGTGCTTGTCCACGCAAAATCTTTTTTGCCTGCCACCTGTTCGTAAGGTATTTGTAACTTCTTCTCCTCTAAATGGATGGAGGGAGGGAGGCGATTGAAAGCAGGATCAAGGGTTTTGCGAAGGCAGGCGTGATGGTGAGGCCATCTGTTGGGCTGGGACCTCTCCTAATAGATCTGTGTAGAAAGTCAGCACCCACCCCTCTCCTAGAAGAGTGAAATATTCTAGGAAATATTAAAAAGGCCGAATAGTATATTTCCCTGGATGAAAAGAGGAGAAACATGCTTTAAAGACAAAGCAGCTTCCTGCGGCTCCCTGGCCGCCCTTCAGCTGCAGGGTGATGGGATTAAGACCTGGCCCTCAGGAAATGGTAGAATTGCCCATCTCACCACCTGGCACCTGGGAAGATTGCATCAGCCAGCACTCAGGTGAAGCCCTGTGGTCCGGACAAAGCCTACAACGTTAGCTAAGACCCCCACCCCTGGGAGTCTGACAGCCAATG